GTAAATTACTGTATGCAATGAAGACTGCAGTTGGAATTAATAAACAGTTCTGTTTGATACGGGAGCCAGAATTAGAATCTAGCTCATTCTCCCATAATTGTGTTTGCTTTGCAAAGCCAGCGGGAGTGAAAAGCAGTAAAAATAAATAGCTATGATTTGTAATGACAGACAGGCAAAATGTATTGAGTACAGAGGTTTCCATTTTTTACAGACCCACTTTTCTGACCATAGATGCATTTTACATTTGAAAAGCGCTTTTGGTGTCTTCCGGAGGAAAGATGCTGTATTAAAATAAGTCATGATGTGTAAATAAATGTTAGGGCCAATGTATTCTGAATTTTTAAAATACTGTAGTAGTCCCAATTTGCCTTGTGACATTGAAGCGGTTCTTATGTAACTTCAGCATCTTCTAACAATAACATATCATGATAGAATAAAACTCTTCAAATAGAATTATCAGCATACACGATGGTACCCAAAATGACCTTTCCTGCTCTCTATCCCCTCAGCCACTTACTCTTCACTAGACTTGATGTGGGTAGCAGCATAGACCACTTTCTGAAACTTGTCCTATGCTTGTTTTTTTACCCTACTACTACTTGCCTTCTCTATCTGTGACGCGCTTCAGGCTCTAAGCTGTGGACGGCAATCTCAGCAATGGCTTATTGCATCAAAGCTTAATGTGACAAATTTGAATATCTGGAAGGATAAACCTTTAATCCTACTGTATGCCCAGGTATATGTGCTAACAACTACATTGGTGCTTAGATAACTGCAATACAACTTGAAAGTTGCTTTGGTAACAAGAAAAGTTAATAGAGATGGAGTTTCGGGATGGGTAATCTATTAGAGAGGACATGGTGCTTTAGTTCAGAGTATGGTATTTGCATATAAGCATGTAGAAAGACTGTCTCATCAACTATACAAATGTCACAAGTGCCCATTTCCCTAGTTCAAATACTATATTCTATACCGTCTAGTCTTCCTCTGATATTGTGAGGCATTCCATTTCCCATGACAGTATGACACTGTTTTCAATGACAAGCTGGGTGAGATAATATCTTTTTTTGGACAAACTTCTGTTGGTGAAAAAGACAAGCTTTCAAGCTCTATATAGAGCTCTTCTTCAGGTCTGGGGAAAGTGTCAGCTAAATACAAGGTGGAACAGATTATTTAGCATAAATAGTTAACACATCTGTTTTCAAACATTTATGACCACGAGACATTCCCTTCTGGGACTTTTCCATGCATGGTCTCCTGAGAGCAAATGTTTGTGCACCCCTGGATATAAAACTTGAGCAAAATCCCTCCACTGCCTCTTTAACGTAAGGGCTAGAGTTTGAGGCTGATGCAGGAGGAAGTCAGTTTACTCCATTTTCCTGTAACTAAACTGTATATACTAGGTTAACACAGCATGGGAGCAGGCTGGTCTGGAGAAATAAGAGTAGGATGGGACACAAGCATTGCCCAGCATTCTCACTCTAGCCAAATTGCTGTAGGGTCTTAAGCTAGCCTCCGAGCCTCTACTTCCCTATCTGTAAAACTGGGGAGATGATTCTTTCCCAGCTGACTGGAGTGGTGAGAATTAGTGAATGTTTATATAGCACTCCGAATGTGTTAAGTGCTAAGTTTATATTGTTTACCACTAACAAAATGTAATAAAAAGGCAGAGGAAAAAATAGATTTTGGGTTTAAGTAGTAGTAATAATGGTGGTGTGATTCTTGAGAGAATCGCGTTCTCCATAAGAGATTCTCTCTCTCTACTGTTAACTTCCGTATTTTCATCCCCCCTGTACATACTGTCCCATGGACTCTGTAGACTTAAAAACAACCAATGTCCAAGTACATTTTTTCAGTCTAAATAATTACTTTAAAATGATTCTCCGTGTACTGAGAGGGAAAACAGAGAAGCATGGAATATCTGGGAGTTTCAAACAGCAGATTTCCCTGTAGCTATCGCCGCCTTATCAATTTAGTAAGTTGCTGCTTCAGAAAAGTTTCAGCGTGACAGCTTGAGAGATTGAAGTCCCCTGACTTCCTGCAGAGCAAACAGAACATTAGCATTAGTTCTGTGAGAGTTGTTACGTGGCCCTGCCAAATGTGCCCTTTCCCACTGAGCAAGAGGGAGATGGGAATTATTTGCTAAGCACTGCCACTGGTGCTGGAGAAATAGCAAAGAAAGACAAGCTTTGCCAGAAGGAGTTGAGAAGATGACACAACAGGAGACCCAGAGGCAGGTGTTAACGTTTCACTTTTTCATTTCTCCCATTATGGCACAAGATTAGGGCAGACAAGGCATGTGGCTGATGTTGGCTAAAGGTTGTAGGCATCATAGAACGACTAGCTCATTCAGTCCTTGGCCTCTTTCACGTCTCCAGCTGGGATGCCCGTTATGAAGCAGATATCTGGCTGCTGGGAACTGTACTGAGACCGCCAATTCATTTCACGTGGGCCACAGACCAGCTTTCAGATGATAACAGGGCTTGGGCCAAGCTTCAATTGATGATCTAGAGTTCAAAGGCTGCATATCCCATTATCAGTTCCCTGAGTCATCCAGCCTCTATCCCACCCTACGTAATGTGGTTTTTACATCATAGTTGCACATTCCTTTGAGGAGGAGGAAAAAGGGCTCAAAGCTCATCCCTGCAACCTGTCTCCACCGTGCTAGCACTTCAAGAAAGTACGATACGGGTACTGGACATGCCTACAATAAAAAATAATTACTACACGCCTACCCCTGCTGATAATTATATTTCTGCCTTCTCTAGTGCAGTGGTCTCCAAAGTGGGGTGTGTGCACCCCAAGGGGTGCGCAAGAGGATCCTTGGAGGTGCGCGGCAGGAAGAGCGTGCTCAAAAAATTTGTACTGATAGGGGTGCGTGATCAAAAAAGTTTGGAGACCACTGCTCTAGTGCATTCCACCGGAGCAACCCAAGGTGTTCTACAGCCATTAACAAATTAAACGTCACAACACCCCTGGGAGGTAGAGAAATATTCTGATCCCCATTGCGCAGATGGGGCAACGGGGGACAGAGCAGCTACTGCCTATGAAAGTGGCCTATTATTTGGGTTCCTCTATTTTCTGACTGCCCAGCTTTAGCCATGTGGGATCCAGCTTTCAGAAGAAATCAATGCAAGCCACTGGTGACCAGCCCTACATCTCTAAATGGGGCATCCAAAAATGGAGAGACCCAATCTTAGTGATCAGTTCTGAAAATTTGCGCCTCAGTGAATTGCATACGGCCACGCAGCAAGCACGGGGCAGAGCTGGAACCAGAAGCAGAGGTTAAGCTTGCTATCTGGTTTTCCCTCTATTCTGTACATGATATCTCTTGAGAGAATCGCGTTCTCCATAAGAGATTCTGTGTGTTATAGATGAACAAAGGGACTTAGTTCACACTCTCAGGCACCTACAAAATCCCTGGGATTCACAAAGCCTGAGTGTGGCACCTAGGCTCCCTTTACTATGAATGGGGAGAGACAGCACCTCAGAATGGGACCTCAAAAACCAGCACACTAGGGGCTCCCTGCTTAAGCTAGCCAATGGGAGACACCGAGCCTAGAGGTGCCTAAATCCGGGCTCCCTCTGGTTGGGATTCTCAGCTGCCAACCCCTTCTTGGGGTTAGGCACTTACGCCATTTTAGCAAGAAGCCAGGGGAAGAAGGTTAGGAGGAGGAGCAGCACCTCCCTTATAACTATTAGCCCAGTGGTTAGATTACTCACCTGTAAGGTTGCTACCTGGGAGGTACAAGAGATTGAGACCTCCAGGATGATCCTGAGCCTATAAAACTGGACAGCTGGCAGTGCGTACTGAGCACCCTTTACAGCTTTCCCAGGACAGCTACCTCAAAAAAGGTGGCAACCTTACTGGGATGTGGGACACCTCTGGTTTGTCCCCCCTCCCCACCTGAGTGGGAGAAGGGATTACCTTTGATCCACCATTTCTTAGGTGAGTGCTTGAACCACTGGGTAATGGGATAGTCAGATGGCGGGGGGAGAGAACTCCCTCAGTCTTCCGGTTGAAGAGATTCCACTTTGGATAAATAATGAAAGGCCCATTGGGCTAGAGAGACAGCGTGCAAGCATGAGAAAGACTCTGTAGCCCTGTGGCTAGCGCAAAGGAGATTGAGGATCCAGCCCCCCTCTTCCAATGACTTCTTAAAATTATTTATCCACAGTGGAACAGCTGTGACAGGAGACTGAGAGATCTCCACCTCAGAATAGCCCATAGCCCAGTGGTGAACGCACTCACTTGCGAGATGGCAGATTATAGTTCAAATCCCTTCTTTCCCCCTCAAGTGGAGGGACCAGGGCCGGCGCTTCCACTAGGCGACCCTAGGCGGTTGCCTAGGGCAGCAGGATTTGGGGGGTGGCATTTTGCCGTCCTCAGCGGAAATTCTGCGGTGGGGGGTCCTTCCGCGGCGGGACTCGCCGCTGAAGTGCCCCAAAGACGCGGAGCGGAAGGACTCCTGCCGCCGAATGCTCAGAGGAGGAGTGCTGCCGCCGCTCCTGGGAGGGACTTAAACTGGGGGTCTCTCACAACCAGCTGAGTACCCTCCAGTGGGCTAAAAGTCATGAAGGGGTTCTTCCTCTGCTGCCATCTTGTGTAAGCTCACCTATGGAGGGACTGGGCCATAGATGAGCTCAGCGCATGCTTACTCGATCCAGTCCCGCAGGTGAGTTAGGTGGAGAAATGCCTATTTCCCCCTCATTCATGCATGGCTCTGGGGCTTAGGTATTGGGACACTTAGCGTGGATCTGCGGTACCTATGCCCAGAGATGGAAATATTGATGCCTAGGGAACTTTTATTGCAAAAACTTAGGCGCCAAGTGAGTTTAAGGTTTGGCGGCAGCTGATTGGGGATTTGGGGAATCCCAGTGGGACCTCATTCTAAAATGTAGGCAATGGAAGTGATAGGTGCCTAAGTCCTTTTGTGAATCTAGCCATATGAGTTCAATGTTCTCTGGTAACCATTTTGCAGCCCAGAAACAGGTGTCACCATAACACCTTCCTGGGAAAGCCAATTAACAGTTGAAATCCTAGCTTGGATTATTATGATCAATAATGCCATAAGCCTTAATCATGCTGACACTGACTTTGAAAGCTTACCCAAGGTGGCACTTTATAAAGGCTGCAATGCTGAGAATAGCATTACCAGCTTCTGCTCAAATGTTAAGAAGGAGGTGAATTTCAAGAGGGGAGCCTCAAAGGAAGCAAAACATACTTGTAAGATCAAAAATACCTCTGGAACTGCAACCATGAATGGAACAGAGGGTCCAAATTTCTATGTGCCTATGTCCAACAAGACAGGGATAGTACGGAATCCATTTGAGTATCCTCAGTACTACCTTGCTGACCCATGGAAGTTCTCTGTACTGTCTGCTTACATGTTTCTGCTGATTCTCCTTGGCTTCCCTGTCAATTTCCTGACTCTGTATGTCACCATCCAACACAAGAAACTCCGGACGCCCCTCAACTACATCCTTTTGAACCTGGCCTTTGCTAACCTCTTCATGGTCTTTGGAGGATTCACCACCACCATGTACACCTCAATGCATGGTTATTTTATCTTTGGGACAACAGGCTGCAACGTTGAAGGTTTCTTTGCTACACTGGGTGGTAAGTTTTCTACATGTGTAAATAACCAATCCTTACTTTAGACGATAGTCCATTCTGTGCTTTGCTGCACATTGGGCTACGCACATTTGCCATCCTTGCCTTTCAACAGCCTTTCTCTCCAAATCTTCCCATTTCATGTTGAGATGCTTGATTTCATTCAGACCTGTCCGTTTCCATGTTATTCGTGGTCTTCCTCTCTTTCTTCTTGCGTTTTCTGGCATCCATTCAAAGGCGGTATTTGGTGTAAATAACCAAGTGGCAATTTTAAAATCTCCTCCTTTTGGGTTTCCCCCAAGATTTTTGGAAAGAGAGAGATACAAGATTGTCTCAATGTGCACCCTAAAAGGCAGCTGGAATAGAGAAATTACGTTGTAATTTGGACTAAGTTAAAGTTGCAATATTTCAAGGCAGGAAATAAATGAGGGAGAAGAAATAAAGCACCATTATTTTCCACCTTCTTTTAGCACTTTGGGGGAAGCCCAGCTATTGAGTATCCTGAAAAATATAGAGTGTAGGATTGACAAGTGACCTGCAACAGATTTTAAAATGTTCGGTTTGTATCCTTTTTGCCTTGTTCTTTTAACCTTAGAAATAACAAATCTGGTTTTCCCTGGTGTTGCCTGAGGACTTTCTGAGACTCTCAGATCATGTCTGTTGTGAACTCTTACACTCTCATCGAAGAGGCCGGGTTATTTAGCCTTTAACAAAGTCATCCTTTCTTCTAATATCAATCAGGCTTTAGGCTAAACTGTGGGACTAAAAAACCCTTCCCCTCTCGGTTCAGTTCAGTTTTCAGATATCTGTCTTATGAGGTCATTTCATTAATTCTCCAGCTACCATACAGTCTTCATGTGTAGACAAGACCTAAATTTATGACAAAATAAACAAGCACTAACAAAATGATGGGTACAATGATCAGTAGTAGAATAAGAGACTTGTGCATTCCTTACTATATTTTAATTCAGACCTGTGACATTAACATTCCTTGAAACCTTACCTAGATTTCTTTGCCATTTAGAGACTTCAGTGGAAATCATAACATACAAATTAATCCAACCTCAGTCACCAACTTTAGGAATTATTTTGGAGAAGTTCTATGGCCTATGCTGTGCAGGAGGTCAGATTAGATGATCATAATGGTCCCTTCTAGCCTTAGAATCTATGAAAATGACTCACATACATGGCTACGTGTTTTTTTTTCTTCTGTTGTTGGTAACGGTCTATGTGTGTGTCTCTCTCTCTTTCTCTCTCTTTTACAGGTGAAATAGCTCTGTGGTCCCTAGTAGTCTTGGCCATTGAAAGATATGTGGTGGTCTGCAAGCCCATGAGCAACTTCCGATTTAGTGAGACCCATGCCCTCATGGGTATCATTTTCACCTGGGTCATGGCCCTGGCCTGTGCTGCTCCTCCACTGTTTGGATGGTCTAGGTATGGATTGACATTTTCTGAAATGATGCCCCAGCTAGCACGGTGTTAGCAGCAGTTATTGAGGTGTTTTACATATTTCCCTAGCAGCATTCCAAGTAAAGCAACCTCATTCACCAGTTCAAGAGCAGACACTAATCTCATTGGTTTAACTGCAGGTACATCCCAGAGGGTTTGCAGTGCTCATGTGGAATTGATTATTACACTCTGAAACCTGAGGTCCACAACGAATCTTTTGTCATCTACATGTTTGTGGTTCACTTCCTCATTCCACTGATCATCATTTCCTTCTGTTATGGGCGCCTGGTCTGCACTGTTAAAGAGGTAGGTAGCCCTGTTAGAGATGACCAAAAACCTGCATCTGAAGCCTATTCTCCCCTACCCCAAATGCTGGGAGACTTCAGATCCAGATCTGAACTCCACAGCTGGCTCGATTCCTGTGGTGGAATGAACCATAACCCCAGAGCCAATCAGCCCTGACATTTGGGGAGCTAGGGTGATGTGAATTTGATGTTTGTAGCTCATCCCACCCCTAAAACCTTCACAAACTCCCTGAACAGTCAGTTTCAGCATGTCCCCTAGTTACTCCTGGGGGAATGCTGCACCACGCTTGCAGAATTCATGTACCCCGCAGATTTCTTTGCTTCCCCATAGAAAATGGTGGGGAAGCAAACAGAAGCTGCAAGAGTGGTCACATGCCCCTCCCCAGCAGCACGAGTGCATCATTTCGGGCTCCTGGAGCAGCCAGTGGAGAGATAAATCATCGCAGGGGGGTGAGGGTGCTCCTACCCTGCGCCGGGCTCAGCTGCTAGTTCTGCCTGGGCTGGGGGTGAGGAAGGACAAAACTTCCTACTTCTTCCCCTGCAAGGAGCAGCCGGGGCTGGGGCTGGGGCTGGGGCTGGGTCAGACCTACTCCCAGAAACCTCCCCCGGCTGCTGCGGCTCTGGACCCTCCCCCCGCTTCCTGCCCCCATCGCTCCTCAGAAGCAGGGGGAGGGGTCACTGTATGGGGAGCTGCTCACCTGTCTGCCCAGCTCCCTGTGCATCTGGACCCCCCCAAACTCCCACCCAGCCCCTCCTCCCTGCATCTGGACCCGTGCATCTGCACCCGGCCCCCGCACTGCACTGAGCCCCAGCCAGCTGCACCCAGACTTACACTCCACCAAGCCCCACTCCTCCAGTATTTAGACCCCCCCTGCTGAACTCCCACACCTAGAACCCCTGCCAAGCCCCATCTCCCAACACCCAGACCCCCACCCCACTGAGCCCCAGCCACCTTCACCTGGACTCCTCTGCAGAGTCTCATTGCCCTTGCACCCAGAACCCCCAGTGAGCCTCTGTGCATCCAGATCCCTCACTGAGCTGCCCGCACTCAGATTGCCCCACACAGAACCCTCTCACCCCATACCTGGATCCATCCACACTAAGCCCCTCCACACTTGGATCCTGCCGGGCTGAGCCTGCCGACCCACACCGGGATCGGGGGCCAAGGCTGGGCATGCATGTGAGACTCTATCCCTCGCCCTTACTATCTTGGTGCACCTGGCATGGTGGGGCAGGGCTCCAGGGTGTTTCTGGGGCCACCAAGTCCGTGCCCCAACGGGGGCTGCAGGGTGCGCTCCACCTCCATGCAGCCAGTGGCCTGTGCTCCCCACTGCCACGCTGGAGCCTCCACATCTATTTATGGACAAAATATGCAGAATTTTAAAATATTGTGTGTAGAATTTGTATTTTGTTGGTGCAGAATTCCCTCAGGAGAACCCAACATGTCCCCCGCAGCGCCATCGTCATTTCAGTGGTCTTATCTCTTTAGGCCGCAGCTCAGCAACAAGAATCTGCCACCACCCAGAAAGCCGAGAGAGAAGTTACTCGCATGGTCATCATCATGGTTATTTCGTTCCTCGTTTGCTGGGTCCCCTATGCCAGCGTTGCTTTCTACATTTTCACCCACCAGGGATCTGACTTTGGCCCTGTCTTCATGACCATCCCAGCTTTCTTCGCCAAGAGCTCTGCTATCTACAACCCGGTGATTTACATTGTAATGAACAAACAGGTAAGTGGCAAATCTCTGGTCTTTTTCTTTATTGTATTTAATTTCTTATTAGCTTACAGAGAGTTATAGCACCTAGGTCATCGTTTTAAAGCCCTTTTTTGCTCAATGTGCCACAAAAGGGGCTTTTTCAAGGCAATTTTGTTTCTGTAATAAAAAGGGACATCTAATCATTGTCTTGCTGTCCTTTAGTATTACATAAATCCACTGAACGCTATCGGAAGTCATCAGGACTGTCTATTTGAAATGATCAACGCATTGATTTTGTTAAATATCTAGGACTGTATTCTGCTCTCATTTACAATGGTGCAAACATTTTGATTCAGTAGAGATGCACTAGTCTAACAGAGCCAATAATAAGAATACTCAGCAAGGTTAAGGTAATCCTAAATAGAAGTTGTAGCTAGTTCTAGGAAGTGGGAAAGGTTAGGAACATAAGATTAGGCAGAGCGAATAAACCATTGGTGTAGCAAGTCTAGTATTCTACCTCCAACAATGAGCAGCACCTGGTTCTTTAGGGCAACTTAGTCCACAAAAACCTCCCCAAAATGCACTTGGCCATCTGTAAAATGCTACATCAGGAGCAGAAACTCCTTCCAGATCCCCGGTGTGATCATCTCATACTGCAAAACATGAGCTTTGGTTACCCTTATTTTTTTTTTTTAGCATTTTTTATTATTTTAGTCAAATATTGAATTGTTAACAAATTGTGATCTTTCAAGGGTCAACCCCTGCTTGCCTCAGTCAGATGAGAAGCCCCATTCACTTCAATAGGATTGTTCAGCTAAGGGATCCAATGCAAGTCCCACTGAAGCTAGTGAGAGTCTTTCCATTGACTTCAGTGGGAGTTAGATTGTTCCCAAGGTGTGCAGACTTTCACAAGGGAGCATCTTCATTAGCCACAGTTCCTTGAATTTCCTCCTTCGTTGTGTTAGTCAGAAGTCCCTCCAGGTGCATTACTGACCCATTTAATGTAAGGGTATTCACAATGCCTAGGGTTGGCTGACAGTTGTCACTCTGCCTGCATCGGCTGGTTACCTCTGCCGACCTTGTTTTCTTCTCTAGTTCCGTAACTGCATGATCACCACCATTTGCTGTGGAAAGAACCTGCTGGGTGATGACGACGCTTCTGCTGGCACCAAGACAGAGACTTCCTCAGTCTCCACCAGCCAGGTTTCTCCTGCATAGATCCCTCATGGAAGCCGCTGATCTCGGAGCTGGCATGCCTTGTCAGCAAGGGCACGCAAGTCCCATTTGCATGCATGTAGTCATGTCCACCATCACCACCGCCTGCATGTGATTCACAGTTAACCCAGCAGAATGGACTTTTCAGTTCTGACAATAGAAATCATTTGAACAAGGCTGTACATATTTTTTTTTAATTAAATATAAAGGGCTAGCTCCTCAGGTGGTGTAGATGTGTGTATATCCATTGACTTGTGTAGAGTTATCCCCATTTACACCGACTGAGTATCTGGGTCATACAGAGAGACGAATGTTCTCCTTTCACAGAATGGAAAAGACTAGTGAGGCCGCAGCCTTGTGGATTCATCCCTACCATGGCGACTGTTCTGGATGTGAACCACAGAGGCTATGGTTAGGAAAGCCCACTGTAAAGACCCAAGACACAGCAATCTAGCGAGGGATGAAGTATACCCGTGTTACAAAGCTGGGATCAGTGGGGGCGCATGAAACCTAGTGAGCAGTGGGTAGGGTTGCCACCTCTCTGGGTTTTACCTGGACAATCCGATTTTTGGCTTCTGTGTCCGGGTACCATTTAGAATTGCCAGATGCCCGGTTTTCAACTGGAAAGTCCAGTCGAAAAGGGGACCAGGCAGTGTCTGGTCAGATGTACTAACCAGACACCACAAATCTGGTTACCGCAAGGCATGGGGAGGCACCAGGTCGTTAACCCACACCAGCCCCTGCTCAGCTGGGGCCATCTCCTACCTCCCGGGGGCTCCTTGTCAGGCTGCAGCAGCTCCCGTCCCAGCCTTAGAGCAGAGGGAGCCCAGCTGGGGGAGATGAGAGGAGGGAAGAAGAGGGAGGTGGAGATGATCCAGTGAGTGGGGGGGTGGAGCGAACGACAGGGGCGGGGCCTTGGGGGGAAGAGGCGGAGATGGGGTTGGGGGCTGGGGGAAGAAGTGGAGAAGGGGACAGGGCCTCAGGGGTCTGGTTACCAGCAGTTAGAAAGGTAGCAACCCTAGTGCCAGTGAGATTTAAGGGTTTACAGTGTGGTAAGATTTGACCATTAGTAGCATCTCTAGAGTAATCTTGGAGAGGAATCTGGTCTTTCCCTTGCCCCCACCAAACTCCCCTGCACACAACCAGTTAGCTACGTGGTGCACTAGGGATAGGATTTGAACCATAAGCAACAGCTGATTTGCAGTGTCTTTTCCGTAGCATGTGACATTATATTTCCATGGTAACGTATATAGTCATTTGGCTTCCCCCTGACTCCTCCTACATGTCCATAGACCACACCCCTATAGTTTGAGCTCTTTATGGTTCTGCTGTGGTTCACCTACCAATTTTCAGCTGTAATTTGATTTGGCATCACACCAAGTAAGAGGTTTTGGCCAACGCTTGTGCTTTTTGAGGATTGATTGGTGGCAAATTGCTACGCTTTTCTTCAGTTCATAGCAAGCAAGCCATGGGAGCATATGGCCCAGAGACTTCAACATATGTTTAAAGCGCTAAAAGATGGCATACTGCAATTGTACCAATGTTCTTTATTTTTATTTTTAGCTCAGTTATACAAATAAGATGTTTTTCTCGCCCTTCTGTTATCAACATTTGAAACTATTCTTGTACAGTATTAGCCTCTCTGATTTCTAATTCTGTGCAGCTTTGCAAGATCTGATAGAGAAGGTCTATAGAAACTATGTAAGTTAAACCTTTAATAAAGAGCAATTTGCAAGTACAAGTCTCATTATTTATTTTTAATTGATACTTCTACATATTCAGTGACATCTGAAGATCAAAGGTTCATGAATCATTCAGTGGTTAGGCTGAAGGCTCATTCATACGCTCAGAATCTGAAATATTTTTTTTGGTAGGAAAGAAAAAGAAGGGGTTTTTTTTGTTTTTTGTTTTTTTCCCAGTTGTCCAGTTATACTTTCCTCTACAGAAATAATGGAAGAGTTTAGGATGGCTGACAATAAACCATTGCAGTTTTGACAGAGTCATGCGGCTGGTGATATATCCAAGTGTGTGGGGGGGGAGGGACGGGTTTGTTACTCTAGTTGTTTTGGTGACGGGTTTGTTACTCTAGTTGTTTTAGTAAAAACGGAAAACAATTGAGCTGATGTAATCAGAGGGGCTTCAGGCTTTATCCCGGTGAGTAATGAAATACAAACGGCTGCTGCCTGGCAATGTTCAATTCCAATTTTGATATGTGAGCTCAAAGACTACCGTAATACTAGCTGAATGGCCCTCTTATCAGTCTTTCCTTCACTGCCATGGAGAGAGTAGTTCTGCCATCCTCATTCCAAGCTGGTCTGAAGCAGAGCCCATCCAACCTAGAGCTGGATGAGAAATAGTTTTCCTGTCCCATGAACCTTTTTGAGATTTCAAACAATTTTCCTATCCCCAAAAAGTCAAACTCCCGAACATTTTCTGAACTGAAAATTGAAGAAAAATGCAGTTTTGGGTCAATTGAAATATTTCATTTGATAATTTCAAAGCATTTTGTTTCTATTTTGACCATTTAAAATTTGTTACAATTTTTTTTTTAGCTTTAATTAGCTTCAATGTGGACACAAAAAGTCATCTAAGCTGACCCTTTCCTGAGGGAAGTTTTGGCTTCAATGAATCAGCCTTTTTTGATAAAAAAAAACCCATTTAATTCATAATTTCCCAACCAGCTCTAAGCACACCTTTTTCTGCCATGACTCCGCTTTTCTGATTTCATAAAGTGGTTCTGCTCCAATGTTAACTGGAGAGTTTTGTTTCTTTTGCTCATATTGAGACAAATATTTTGACGCACTAGCAAATCCAGAGATGATATTGCCCTAATTCTCAGGTAAATAGTTTATTCCTCCAATCAGAGTGAAGTTAGCAACAGCATCAGGTAGCCAGCTCACCACCCTGTTTATCCACAGAACCACCTGGGTCACAGCAGTGTAGCTTTCCCCATGCCTGCTCTATATATGTGCCCTGGCCCTGGCCTGGAAGGACGGCTGGCAGGGTTAAAAGAGCAATTCAATCCCATAGTTCATCCAATTACAGGCCTCTCTGTTGATGACACTTCCAGTTGTGAGGGTGGTGATTTTGTGATGTGGACAATAGGAATTTGACTGAGACCATCACCTCTTTGTCATATAGGCCTCCACCAGCCATCAGATGGTAATTCCTGCCCTAGCACAGGTTTAAATCAGTGACCAGATGTGAAAGGTTTAAAGTGCTCAGTGATCTGAAGGGGAGATGGTATCAGCACCTAGGGTGACCAGATGTCCCGATTTTATAGGGACAGTCCCGATTTTGGGGTCTTTTTCTCATATAGGCTCCTATTACCCCCCACCCCGTCCCGATTTTTCACACTTGCTGTCTGGTAACCCTATCAGCACCTAAGCTATCTAATGCCTCCTTTAGGTGCATTTTTGATTTATTGAAATGCCTCTGTCTATACTGGGAGCTGTGGTGAATCCAGGGTTTTGAGAACAAAGCACTATTCATGCTGAAATCCCAGCTGGGAGAAGCGGTTGAGCATTCTGTTGAAATGATTTCCCTTTTCAAACCCAGTGACCTGCACGAGAGGCACTAACTCTCTGCACACCTTCCCGCCACCGAACGTTGTCCTGAGCAAGGTCACACAGCTCTCCGAATGACCGTGGAGAGCGCGAGAGAGAGGCTGTGCAGTGAAAGGCCCTCCATCAAATCCTGATATAGTCACATCATTCCTGCTCCAACAAAAACTCCTATTGGACTTGATTGAATGCTGCTGTCCTGGAATATCAAATAATGACTCTAATCCATTCAAAACAAAAGAATCAACTCATCCAAATGAAGGGGGGAGGAAGAGAGAGACATTGCTCTTTTGTTACGCCAGTCCTTGTAAGACACTGACACCATGGTGATGGGTGAGCATGACAGCTTATCATTTGTTGTTTCTCTAGTGGTACCCCATTGCACTAGGGGGCTGTACACACGCAACCCACTGGTTAGTGAGTCTGCCAGGGCCTCCTCTGTGCCCAATCTGCAGAGGATATAAATGCTGCAGCTCCACCAAGAGAGCATCTTGGCTCTTTAAACTCAAGCTGTAGCTCATTGCTTTGGTTCTGGAGATTCCTTGGTTCATGCTCAGCCCAGCCAAGATGCTGGCTGTCATGCACACATGGAAAGGTCACACATTCCCAGTGCGAGGTGATAACCTAGGCTTGTGACTGGGTGAGGCAGGCAGGAGTCAGGGGGTAACAGTAAAATGAGCACACTTGCATAGCAGGCAGTAGTGAGTAGGCTCTGGCATTAATCCTGCAGTTCTTACACCTTCCTTCCAGAGAAAGGGGCTTCAGGCTTTATCCCGGTGAGTAATGAAATACAAACAGCTGCTGCCTAGCAATGTTCAATTCCAGTTTTGATATGTGAGCTCAAAGACTACCGTAATACTAGCTGAATGGCCCTCTTGTCAGTCTTTCCTTCACTGCCATGGAGAGAGTAGTTCTGCCATCCTCATTCCAAGCTGGTCTGAAGCAGAGCCCAGGACACCTGCTCCTGATGCTGGTTGAAGATGGTCACCCTGATTCTCTCCAGCCTGCATTTCTTCAGAATGATACCTGTGTTCTGAACAAAAGATTCTGAACTATGATTAATTGAAGGGGCCACATCTGCTGGTTTCTGGCTGCTGGAGCGAAGGCCAGGATCTAACTCAATTACTTTTGATTACATCAGCTCAATTGTTTTCCGCTTTTACTAATTCTTTGCAGACTTTAAAAATAAGATATTTCCAGACAGATTTTTGCAAGTTCTTAGACGCTATAGCAAAGATACCTAATTACATCCTGTATCAACAGTTCTGTCAAATAAAACTTAGCTAGTTACTGCTTATAAAAGCACTTTGCTAAAGCCTTACAACCATTCCTGTAAAAACTCCCAAAGGATTATGTAAGAATATTGTTATCAATCCCAGAAATGCAGCCATCTCTAGTGTGAAACACGGAGTCTATTTAACAGCTAACAGCAACACTGCACAACAATTTAAACCAGGAAGTGAAGAAGCACAGAAACTGGGGTGGAGGGGAGGGGAATATGTGTAGGGAGAATGTAATGATCCAATTTGAATTTGGCCAGGACACTGGAATTAAAGCAGGACTCCTTACCAAAAAAACAAAAACAAAAACAAAAAATGCCAAGTGTTCTTTAGTGACCACAAATGATCAGTTTTATATCTCATTGACAAGACAGTAAGTACCTCCTACAGCACAGTTTCCCCCATCGTTCTGCTGCAGAATTAGCTCAGGCAGAGGGAAGAGAGCTAGAAACACCCAGTGGGAGAGAATTAGAGCAAATCGTTGTAGGCATCAGAACAGCTCAGATATTAACATCTGACTTTGTTATTGTGGACGAGCAGAGTTTATTCTTTAATTTCAGCAGAAAGACCCAAGTGAGGGATGAAGCCATAATTCTGCTCACGGTGCAGCAGGTGAGTCCTCTAGGGAGCAGACCCTGGCTCCTTTACAAACACCTGGGAATGCTAGCTTGGAAGAATCATTTGCTCCATCCATCATTAGTGAACAAAGACTCTTTTCTTTTTCCCTCTTCGACTTATGGAACCTCTTTGTTTTTCCTTTATAAACCGATGAGTGAAGTTAGTGCTTATGAAAATGAGGGGCTGAAGAGCACTAGCTTGAGCCAGTTAAAGACGAGGCCAGCCCAGTAAAGGGTTTCTCTCACAATCCTGCCAGTGTACCTCTGCCCTGACCTCCAGCATCCCTTGCTGTTCCAATCCTGGAGCGCATAGCTTGCCAATATGCA